GAAAGCAGAGATCTGAGTTCGAATTCCAAACGTATTCATTACATTCATTTACGCGCTAATACCATTGAGAAGGATTTTCATCCAGTCCCCACCTACAGGTTAAATAGTAGGACTTGTGTCTGGGAAAATGTTGTTATTCTCAAAACAGATTTTTAATGCAATATTTTCTAAAAAACGAATTCAATCCAAAATACGTTTATACATTAAATAACCCACAAAGGGTTGATAAATCATAAAAAATAAGTCAATCAACTCTCAGTCTATGTTCCTCTCTACACCAGTCTATTTTTTATATACTATTTTTCACCAAGAGCCACTCAAGGAAGAGGATTAATTGGGTTGTTATGAGGGTGTATAAGGGAGAAAGTAAGAAGTTATAAGTATATATAGGAGAGATAATGATTAAACCGGGACTACAAGAGGTTTAGGATCGTAGTGATCGGGGAAACATCTTCTCGTGAATCTGTCATCGTCTTACCCATGATGCCTCATTTTGGGGCTGGGGTCTTACTCCTCTGCAGAGTTGCAGTCGGCCTATTCTGAAGCCCCAACCGACAGGGCGATAATGGGAACAAGAACGGAAGAAGGATGAGTTGACGCAGTGTACATGGATGTTCATATATATATATATATATATATATATATATCGTCGACTCTCCCGTCAAGGGTCAAGCAGATCAGGTCCCAGGAAACCGACAGCCCGACAACAGCACATGAGATTTGATTATAGTGATGAAGGTTTCGTGCAGGACCAGGCCGAATTCAGAGACCACAAGGCCCTCCGCAGGTTTTGAATTCAGAGTTCTCCTAGACCAGTTCAAAGGCTATAGAACCCAGTCTGTCCTGCTATTTATCCATAGCTGGAGGGAGAAGAAGAGGAATCACACCTTTCCCAAGGGTAGTAGCATGGTAATTGATTCGACTGGAATTCGAACTCGAGCCCTGCGATTCCTCAATCCAAGCCGCTATCCATTACTCCACCGTGCCTCCTAATATATATATCGCTAACATTCTGTGCAGATTTATCATTCTGTCAATCTATCTATGTGCCTATTTTATATATTTTTATCAATCTATGATTATCCGATGATAAGTTGAATGTCGAGATATTATTCTGGGTCCTTTATGGAATCTTAGCAAGCAATGTGAGTTATTTTGCAGAGACCATATCTCATATGCGTGAGATCTTAACATCTGTGCAGATTTTAATGCATTACAAGCTACCTGTAGCGGGAAGATATTCCTGGCTTGACTTGACCACTTCTACACAGGTGGATTTATAACTTTCCCAGGTGTATTGTTAGAAGCTACTCCAACTGGTGTTTGAACTCGGATTGTCAATTCTTTGTCGTTAACCATTAGAATAAACTAGTCGACCTTATATCGATCTCTCAGCTTATTTAATTTTGTTTTCTTTCTTGTCTATCTCTATAGCAATCGTAGTCATATTTATCTTAATCTTATTTATAGATCGATAAATCTCCCTCTTTCTCTCTCTCTCTCTCTCTCTCTATATATATATATATATATATATATATATATATATATATATTAGGATATTAAAACATGTTAAAAATCCATACATGATGGCAATTATGTTTCGATAACATAAATGTGTCTCCTCGGGCGATGTTAAACTATATATATATATAGAGAGAGAGAGAGAGTTATATAGTTATATATATATATATAGTTATATAGTTATATAGTTATATATATATATATATATATATGTTACCTATATATATATATATATATAGATAGATAGATAGATAGATAGATAGATAGAGAGAGAGAGAGAGAGAGAGAGAGAGAGAGAGAGAGAGACTTTTTAAATGGGTTTTGTACATTTACTTCTACCGGCCTTTGCATTCGATAGTCTTACTAAAGAGATAGAACCTTCCGTCAAGTTTCTAATCTGCGTCCCCTTACATGGAAGACCAGCTTCAACCCCGGTATGCTTCAGACCACTTAGCCACACTGTCAACAAAAAGCTTCCACAGGAAAGCATGATATAGTTACTCTACTAAATGATCTTTCAAAGCACAAATCAAGAAACTTTAACTTCGTATCCAAAATGTAAAGAAAGTACTCTATAAGAAATTAACGGATTTTTATTTATTATCCGACAAAAAAATTCTTATATCTTATATTTGGTGGATTCACTTGCTTGAGTAGACATCATTTTTATTTTGACCGCAAAATTTTATGCCAGTCAGCCTGGGTATTCGAAAGTTTTAATGAAGAAAATGTACCTTCCGGTATGTTTTGAATGTAAACGGGAAAAGTAGGAAGAACTGTGAGTAGAATGCATAAAATATTATTGGACGACCACTATATTTTCTACTTGCATTATCAATTCAGCGTCAATATAGCTGCCTGATGTCAGATTGTCACTAACAAAAAAAGAAGGAAACATGTTGAGAGGCTTCAAAATTTATATGCGTCGCTGCTTTTTCTTGGGAATTTCCAAGACAATACTCAGAAATTTGTCATAAATTAATTCAACCGCATATATTCGCCTTTGAATGGAGTATTGCTGCCATATATGGTCTGGAGCCCCTTGTGTTTGTCACAAGGTCCTTGATAAAATCCAAAGACGGATATGCAACGTAATTGGCCCTGATCTGGCATCTCGTCTGCAGTCGCTCTCTCACAGACGTGCCGTTGCTTCCCTCTATCTTTTTTACAAATACTTTCACGGTAACTCCTCCGATGAGCTGCTTTCGCTGGTTCCAAGACTCCATGAATTTAAGTGATCATCTAAGCTGGCATCTCGCTCTCACCCTTTCACTGTCAAAACTGTTAAATATAGCCGTCTCTTCTACTCCAATAGCTTCATATCTCGCACCTCTCGCCTGTGGAACTCCCTTCCCTATTCCTGTTTCCTTGATAGCTACAATCTCCAACTATTCAAATGTAATGTCAATCGATATCTCCAGTTGCCTTGACCTATCCGCTATCCTTCTCCTCATCCTTTCCTCTATCACTCCTATCTACTCTCGCTACAAATCCTCTGTAACCCTTTGCGTGCTAGTGGCATTCCCGTCATGTCATTTTGTTACGCTATCGTTTACCGCCATTGAGACAGCTTTATGATTCTCTCCAGCCGAAATTTGAAAATCTGTTGGATGATGAACTCTGGTCTAAATGGATTTTACAGGCTCCCAGAGAGTTGAAGTGCTTTCCATTAACAGAATTTTGTAAGGATCGAAATAATTCTTGTAAGGATCGAAGTGCAAGATCAAACGAACTTTATCAAGTCAATGTAGAATTTATTTTTTGCACATGTTTATATGCAACCAATGACATCCTCGTTTTTGTATATAAAGACGTGCAACAAAATAAATCCTACATTGCCTTGATAAAGTCCCTCAGAGGACGAAACCCGTCGGCTAAGAATAGTTTTTTTTTTTCTTTTTATTCATATATATATATATATATATATATATATATATGTGTGTGTGTGTGTGTGTGTGTGTGTGTGTGTGTGTGTGTGTGTGTGGATATATATATATATATATATATATATATATATATATAGACCCCACATATATTATATATATATATATATATATATATATATATATATAAATGTGTATTTAGGCAGCATTTTTTCATTGATACATGTTTCATTAAATAATATAGACAAGTGTTGCCTATTTATTTTATGTAAATTCTTTTCATAACGTCTGATAAGCTTAATAACATTATCATTAAACGAAGAAGGAAAATCACAATATTGATACATATTTTTTAATCCTATCTAAGCTTTCGGTTTACATAAGCCATTATCAAAGATGACAATTACATTACATCAGCACTATGAGTCACAAATACGTTTTGCACTTTGGATCAAATAATTTTAAATAAAACTACTAGTGGATGTTGAATGGCCTTTTCGACCATAGATTTGAGTGATTAGTGGTTATTCTCCATAATTCATGATCACGGAAAGAATTTCGGTTAAGGAATTGTAAAGGTCTCTAAAGAATGCTTTCGCAAATAACAATACATCAACGAGGAATGAACGTTGAGAGAGTTAATCAAATTCTGCGTTGAATAATGAACATGATATAGACAAATAAATTTTACTTGGCACCTTTTAGGCCCAGCGTAGTATTGACATTGTTTCCAGAGTAACCGTCAATGATAATGTTTTTACAGTTATCACACGAACACACTGAGCAATGAAATTTGTTAAAACAAATTTTAGTTAACAAATACGAAAAAAAAAAAGATTCTACATTTAAGCGCTATCTTTTCTAGGGTAATTTTCATTGATTCATAGCCCCATGAATAGCTTTCTCGCCTTGCTTTCATTTGATAATGTCATAATTACGTAATAATGCCAATGTCTACTACTTTCAATAATTACAGGAGTGTAGAAAATTTAGATAAAACCGGACAATGTTATTTTCCCGAGCCCCAGAACCCATTAAGCTTGGTGGTTTTCTATATACACCCACACAGCCGTTAACGGCTGTGGGTGTCTCAGGCCTGACGGAGCCCGTCTCGTCCGAGGCTAACTTTTAAATTCAGAGTTGTCCTTCTCCTAGACTCCTTGCCTGCCTTGGATATCAGTATTCGAAATACTGTCTTTTATCTGACTTTGAACACAGACCACTGGCATCGGAGGGAGTTACTCGTTATTTTTTTTTTAATGCTTTAGGACGTAGGCAATCATAACTGTCCATAGATTACTTTTCTTCATCTTCCATGAATTACCGTGAAATTAGTGAAGTGATTTCTCGTTGCATTCTCTGTGTTTTGAAATTCAAAGTAGTCTTTCTATTAGAAAGGCTTGAGAGTTAAGCCTACCGATCTATTTAACCTATAGGTAGAAGGAGAATAGATGGGTTTATGCATTTCACAAGGGTATTTTACTAATGTTCACCCAATACAAAGTCTAAGAGCCACTCAAGGAAGAGGGTTACTGAAGGAGGTTCTTGTATGAGTAGTAAGATTAAGAAGTAAGAAAGGCAGTTTATGAAGATATG